TGTTATTTTCATTTTTCACAAAGTAGTTCCTTCAGCCCCTTGCAGGTATAAACTGAAACATTTTAGGACCGTTCCTCAGAGCCCAACCCAGTTCTCAAGTCTGTCTATGAGAATTTTATGGTCGATGCTATCAAAGGCAGCGCTGAGATCGAGCAGTAATAGAACAGATGTTTTACCAGAGCCTGTATTTAAGCAAATGTCATTATGTTAGGGCCGTTTCAGTACTGTGATCAGTCTGAAAACCTGACTGAAATTTGTCTAGACAGCTATTTAAGGACAGAAAGCCTGTAAGTTGCTTAAAGACAATTTCCTCAATCATTTTTCTAATGAGAGGTAGATTTGAAATCGGTCAGTGATATCCAAGATGGTGCCGCAAACGGCGACACTGGTCGGGAGTCTCCACCGGATTTTGTTTGTTTTTGTTTGTTTGTTTGTTTTGTTACATGTGAACCAGTCTCATTCACATACAGCGCAGAGGATCTGCTGAACATTAGGCGGTCCATGCCACAAGGCATTGCTCCTGTTTTTTTCACTTTTTCACTGTTTTCCAGACTTTTCAGTGAGCGGAGTGGCTGCTCTCTACAGCAGACACAGACGGACTGGCAGGTGGGTGAAGCGCGCTGGAGCACTGGTTAAACTTTGAGAGCGCGGACTTCACACAGCATTCAGATCTTCGCTCTTTAGGGAATAAATTAGATGAGCTTTCCCTTCTAAACAGAACCATTAAGGAGTTTTCTCTCTCTGCGCTCACACTCCAGCTCCACGGCTTTAACCTCTACAGAGCGGAGCAGAATGACCACTGGGATAGGCTCCAGCAGCCGTATAGATAATATGTGTGTGTGTGCCTGTTGTCCTTTACATTTTATGTAAAAAGTCTGGTTACACTGATTTACATTAAAAATTAAGCATGTTTTTTCCTCCTTTTTTGTCCTGCAAAAATATCATTTTGGACGTATGAGGTTTTGTTCTGACAGCAGCAGTTTTGTAGATGCAGCGCACAAACTGTGTTTACTGACAAGAGTTTTCCAAATTATTCCTGAGCCAATGTGGTTACATACATTACAGAAGCAATTTTCTTTTTAATGCAATGCTGTGTGAGGGGTCGAAGGTCATGGGCATTCAGTATTGGTTGTCGGCATTTTCCTTTATTCATGTGGTTTCTCTGAATCTTTTAATAATGTTATCGACTGTAGATGGTAAAATCCCTGAATTTTTTGCAGTTGTGACTTAAGAAAAGGTCTTAAATAGTTCCTCTACTTTTGTGATGCATTACTCACGCAGTTTTTTGCATAGTAGAGACTGAGCCTTTCATGAATATTCATAATCATAGTAGCGTTACCTGTTTATCTGGTCACCAGTGGAAAGTTCAGATGTTTTTGATCATTCCAACTTCTCAGTCTTCTGTATTGGGGTGTGTTGCATTTGGAATTAACATATAATAACAAAAATGCTGATAAGGTAAAAATATGAAGATTCTCCTGAGATCCTCATGTGTTTACCTGACATAGGTCACGTGGCCTGTTTTGTGGTAGCATGTTAGAATTTTTTTTTTTTTGTTGTTGTTTTTTTTTACAGTTAAGCAGAAATAACAGTCAGAGGTAACGTTAGATTCAAGATTCAGTATGTCATATGCACAGCAGAAACAGGCAGTTACACTGTACAGTGAAATTCTTACTTTGCTGTTCCTCCATTCACCAAAAATAATCTTAATGTAATCTTAGAGAAACATAGAAAAAAATAGAAAACATAAGCATAACACTAAAAACAATAGTAAAAAAGTACAGTTATGTGTGCAAAGTTGGAAGAAAAAATGAAAGTTACGTGTGCGTATGTGCAAATATGTAGAGCAGCGGTTCATAAAGTGCACGTTGCAAGTAACAGATGTAGACAGTAGTGTTCTGACAGCAGCAGTACAGTGTATGTAAGGTGCAGTTATTGAGTGCAAAGTTGGCCAAAAGTTAAACCAGTTCAGAGTGGGAGGGGAGAAGAGGTAATGAGTGAGATGCTTAGTTGAACTTTTCACAAAGCCCATTTCAGCTTGTGTTGGGAGATAAAAGCATCGTAAGTGCCAAATTCATAGAAAACTTATTCTAATTTTTTTAGAAAATTAAATTCTCTGTGGAAGATGGAATCTCACTTTTAAACTTTCCCAGTTACATATTTAACCATAACTGAAACTTCGAGTTCAAACACTGGAGCTCTAGTAATGAGCCGAGGGCTTGAGGCAATGGTGGATAGCAATGCTAAGCAGGAAGCATGTAATGATTTAATCGTTCATTATACAATGACAGCACTCACAGAAAACTAATCAAATTTTATAATCATCTTTAAAAAATTAGGTTGATAAATGTTCTTTGCCCATTTGGTTTGGGAGGCCTGCATACTGTAAAAAGTGGCTCGTCAGATCTAATTAAAAAAAATGACTTCATAGAGTAACAAGCAATTGGACTAGTTTTATTCAACTCCAAAAAATACTTTGATTGAAAGAATCGTTCCTTCAAAGTATTTACTTAGGTCGAATAAAACTAATTAATTTACTTGTTACCACATGAAGTCAGTTTTTTAAGTAGATCTGACGAGCCACTTTTTACAGTGTACTGATTCTGCTCCTATCTCAGATCAGCTGTAGTTTTTCCCTCATTTGTTTAGCTCTAAACGACTTTGACTTCCTGTTCAGTTGTACAGGTCTGTATGCAACAATACAAGCTAGAGCTAAGAATCAAACATGCTTATGTGAGAATAAAGGATATAAATGTGAGTGTTTACAAGGGCAGCAATTAACACAACCTGATTCTTAAACTGCTCTCCACAGCTAAATTAGCATGTAAATTTACATTTGGCAGGTTAGTAGATGTTTTTATCTCGTTCAGGCAGGATTGGCTCTATAAAAAGCCTACATACATCTGAAAAAGTTGAGGTTTTTTATTATTAAAATCTTCTAAATACAAGAATCTGTGATTTGTTAATTCCCTTTATTTAACTGACAAAAGCACAAAGAAAAGATTTCCAATGTTTTCACTGACAAACTCAATTGTAAATATAAACAAGTTTAGACTTTGATGCCTGCAACACACTCAAAAAAAGTTGGGAGAGGGGCATGTTTATCACTGTGTTACATCACCTCTCCTCTAATTACACTTTCTGGCATTGTCTTGCTGAAATAACCATAGACTTCCCGGGAAAAGACGTCATCCTAATGGCAGCATATATCTCATTAAAATCCCAATATAGGCCTCCATGTCAGTGCTACCTTCACAAATATGCAAGTCACCCATGCCGTGGGCATTGATGTACCTCCATGGCATGAAGGATGTGGACTGTGCACGTTTCACTGATAAGTCTGAATGGTCCATTCATCTTTCAACATTAATTTTCCCAAAAACAAGCTGAAATGTGGACTCATCTGACCACAGCACACATTTCAGACCATCTGAGATGAGCTTGGGCCCAGAGAATGATGGAATGATCCATGTTTGTATAAATCATACAATATTCTTAAAAACCTACACTAAGAAGTAATTGTTAACTCAATAAAAAAGCTGAGTATTTTTGTGTCTTTGAATTTGACGGATGAGCATGAGAGACAAAGCAAAACCAGTATAATTGAACTTTAGAAAAGTGGGTAAAGTGTTATAAAATTAGTTTAGTTTTTATTATTTTCAGTGTAAGCTGTAACTTGTGCATGTTTGTTAATAATACAGTTACTTTTTGTATCTTTAAATACCCTATTTACATGTAATCCATTACTATCCAACCCTGTGTATTATTTGATGTTACATGTGTTTGTTGTTGTCTCTTGTTGTACTACAGCAGGTTAGAGGTTGATGATAATGACCAAGAGGGGGTGCCGTAACTACGAATCAGACCAGCTTTAGACAAACACAGACACTGTCAAGCTAATCACCTCTTTAGTATGTCCTTTATTCCTGTAATCATGTACTGGATGCTGCATCAAACTGGTCGTTGTGATGTGCCTGAGTAGTAGTTTGGCATTGTTGTGACAGATTAGGAAGCTCTTATTTGAGTAGTCCTGCAGTTACTTAAATGATGTCATTCAGCCCTAACTTATTGGGTAGTTTACCACAGCATGATTGAAATAAAAATTTACAAATGCATGAAAATCACCCATTCATAATTTCTGTGATGCGATATAAAAAGAGAAAACCACACATTGAGTTTCAAAAGTAAAATAAGATTATACATTTATTAAGAAAACTGTTTTTTAGGATTACAAGAGCACAAAAAGTAAATATTAACTAAAGATTGAATAAAAATGGATAAAAATAAAAACAAAATATCGACAGAAATACGCGTTCACACTTATAACCTCACACACAAAGGGGGGGAGAGAGAACCCACAGGTTTAAACATGTTCCCATCTAACAAAACGGAACAAAACAAAAAATCTTTCTGCAAATTATATGTAAAACAGACAATCTCCATGTACAGCTGCTGGTCATTACAAACCAAAAACTGCTGTATTGCCGACTTGGTTTGGTTCAGAAACCTGTATTTGAGTGCTGAATTATCACAAAGATATAGAAACATCGAAATTGAGGCGCGGGTGAGTTTGTGGACCCCAGAAGGTTAATGACGTCAGCAGAAGTCGTTTTTATTCGTGCCAAAGGTCTTAAAGGTTCCCAAATGGTCACCTTAATAATAATGACTGAAACACATGATGAGCATAAACACGCCCTTTTCTCACATCACAGCGAATTTAACTACAAGCCTCACAGAGACACAAAAGCCAAGGAGCTGTTATTCTTAGGAAAAATATTCTGTAATAAAAAGACTTGATTATATGAGATAATCAACATCCCTAAAAAACACTGAAACGTGACTTTCTTTGCAGACTTTCTTTGAAGTTTCTGACTACACCATTGGACAGTATAAGATCAGAAACACATGAAAATGTCATGGAAAGATCAGTTAAGAAAGTTCAGAGAGATAAACTATTACCATAAACACTAACCTGCCAAAAACATTACCCTGCTATTAAATCTGTTCAATACAATGATCAGAAAATAGTGCTGTGAAATTTAACAGGTTCCATGTTTCTTTTTGGCTTAATTCTCATCACTCCATTTGGAGATGTTCTTCAGATGTATTGTAATGTTGCCAGGGAGGCCTTTTCTAACCAGTTCTTCCTTGAGCTGTAACAAACACACACAAGTCAAGTAGTTAGAACTTTAATTAGTGGTACCAACATCAATTATATTATTAATTGAGTAATCTACCAGTTATTTTGACAATTAATCAATGATCTGTTTTAAAGCAAAACCAAATAAATGGACTTAACAGAACAATACCAAACTATTCAGATCCTTTTTAAATTATATTACTGTACAAAGAGACCTTTTATAATACAGGGCAAAAGTCAATCACTTATTTAATGACCAGCCAAAATGGTCATTAAGTAAAAGTCATTCATTTTTCAGCATCAGGAAAAAATGAGAAAACATATCTGAAAGAAAATTAGATGAAACTAAACAACTGAGTATAATATTGAATTTAGCATTAAATTGTTCACACATTGCCTTTATTATGGCTTCTATTATTTTCAGGAGACTTGATTTCTGCTTTTATCATTAAAAGGTTTCAAAAGCAAATTCAATTGAATACTTTTAAAGAAATTTCAAGACTTCTGGTTAGGATGGGCCTGAGGGAGCTGCTTTAGGTAACTTAGGTAATTTAGTTCAGATTCAGTCTGTTTTCCAACATTCATAAACTCTTAAACATTATAGTTATGCCTAATTCCTCATTGGTCCCTAAAGTACCTCTTTCATTGGATGCAGAAAAGGCTTTTGACTGCACAGAATGGGACGACACATTTTCTTTTCTTGGTAAATTTGAGATTGTAAGCAATATAATTTCTTGGGTTAAACTGATTCATCCATCCTCACTACCTGTGTTGGTACGACTTGGTGAAAATGACCGTAATTCGTCTGAATAAGAACTTTCCCCACTTTACTGTGATCAGGGCACATATGCATTTTAACTTAATGCAGTGTACATATTCATAATTACACTTATTTATTTTAGCTGCTCAATTCTATTAGCACTACATACTATATATACTGTATATATGTACTTTACTATTCAGTTGTAACTGTACTTATCTCCCATTGTGGATGCTTTATATTACTCACAGATTGTTTGTATTTTAGATATATCATTTATATATTTTACTGAATTTCATTTTATGTTGTATCTTGTACATTACTAAGCAAATAAAGATTCTGATTCTAGAGCTAGATAAACAAAACCTCAAGATTCTAATACACTTTTGCTTAATACTCATGTGTATAGAGTTATCAGATAATCTAACGTTACTGAACATGAGCAACCAAAGTAAGTATTACTGCTGTTTAATGGTGTTACTACAACTACAAATGCATACTGTTGCTAATTTGCCCTTGTATTTTTATTCTTATTGTATTTTAGTTCATACATTTTACTTTGTTTCTTATTACATGTTTCTTTAATATGCATCATTTTTTATATTTCATATCCTACTGTATTTTTTAATTTCATTTCCATTCAATATTACACTCTCAGAAATTAAGGTCCTAAACTGTCTCTGGGTCAGTTCCCCTCCTGTCACTGGGGTGGAACCCTCAGTGGTCCATCTCAGTACCTTTAGTCAGGGAACATAACTGAACCATAATGCACTGAAATGATATGTTCTAAGCTGTACTGACTCCACACACCCCGTCTCGTCTCCAGGCTTTATTTTACTGTTCTGTTTAAAACATTCGGTTATGAAAAGGTACAAATACGAACTTTTCACCTGGAAACACTTATTTAAGGTTCACAATCAGACCTTAGAACCACTGTTGGAGCTTTGAGGGAACATTTACACTGTTTGTACCTCGATGAACGAAAAATGTACCTGAACAGAACCTTTATTAATAACAGTGTATGAGTGTTTACTTGTGTTTTTATCTTACAATATAGTATTTTCCTTAATTTTTTTGTTAAGTCCTTTGAGCTTTCAGAGGAGGTGCTTTGTAAATAACATTTAATTGTTTTTGTTTGTTTACTTACCTGTTTCAAAAAATCTTCCATGGAGGATGACTGTTCAAGGTTATTTGCTGAGGAAAGTTTCATCCTTAGTCCAACAAAGTGCTCTTTAGACAGTAAGCAAAACATTAATATCATTAACTAAAAATGCTTTCATAAAAATGTAAAAATTATAAGGCAGAGCCTTATAGTGGCTAAAGTAGGATAACATGGCTGGACGTCAGTCGCTGGTTTTGCTGTTGTAACATCTTTTATGCAAAACAATAAAAAGAAAACAAAGAAACAATTAAGACATTATCTTAATTCAGTGTTTTAGGGCAGGTTGTTATACTGGGGGGCCGATATGCCTTGGCCTTGTTGGTGCATTTTGTGGTCGCTTTAAGGCACGTCTTGCACTGCATCTGTGCTCTTACACACATCTGGCTGACAGGGTGTTAACCCATTTACCTCAGAGGAAATGTGAGCGGATCCAGACCTCCATTCTTCTCATTATTGAACAATTCATTGTTACTGAATTACAGCATGTTCTAAACTCAGCAGCTACAGTCAGCATTCATTGCCAGATTCTGCCCACATTACACTTATTCTCCATAAACTGCGCTGGTTACCTGTCCCTTTCCCTGTGTTCAAAGCTACTGCTCATAACCTTCAAAACCACAGGAGCTCTTGCACCTTCATTCTTCACTGCTTCTTCATCCCTACTGCTTTATTTGAATCCCGTTTCATATCCTCAAGTGAAATGATATATGATATATATGTTTAAATTGGTGGAGAATTCAGTAGCACTTCTCAAGGGTCAATTATGAAACTTAATAGAATAGATGAGAGTCTACACATAGATAAACAATTCAAATTTCTTAATGACTGGTCAATGTTAAGACTGCCAAATGCCTTCTGAAAGCTGATTGGCAGATGGCAGCCACAATTTTCCATTCATCAGCTCATCCTTCAAAACTCATTTTAAGTAAGCTTATAGATGCAGTACACCACATATCTACTTGATTGGATGTACTCAGGTTGAGAAACAGCTACTTAGCTTTCATAGCGCCCCCTATTGACGTAGAAGTGGCAAAATTGACAGACCACCTTAGACTCTTCTGAGACATGATTATCTCAATTTGTTTAGAATCAGACAAAGCCTTCATGACTTACAGCTGCTTTAGTAATCAATGCTCTGATTGAAAAGGATTGACTGGCATATGACTGCCATGTTGATTATGATGATTGTCATCATTTTTTATATATATATATATATATATATATATATATATATATATATACACACACACACATATAATCTAAAAAAGGATACCGAAAACAGGATAACATACTTGTCAGTGGCTGGTGTGTAGTTGCTGGTGTTGTTCCTGTAACATCTTTCAGGCAAATAATTAACAAATAATTAAAATAGTATAGTTGAAAAAGCATACTGTCTATCTTAATGTATTTTAATGTTTAATATATACGAATGTGTATACGGTTGCAAAAAAATACTGTATAAAAATTCTCATATAATTACCTGCACAATATGCCACAGAACAGATAGACGGGCTGACGAACTCATAGACGTAGTAGTTTCCTGGGTAAGCTTTCACTCGAATAGGACTGGATGTGTAGAAACAGCAGTGGTCAGGCACAGTACTGCAGATTTGGAGAGTGACCACTTTGTCCCGCAGCAGTGGGTGAGTGCCATTGATCCAAAAGGGGATGGTAGTGCCACACATTAAAACATCAAAACATGACTCGGGCATCCAGACGTCCTGTCCATCATACATGAGTCTGTACCAGCCCACCCACGAAACATACTGATCACACCTATTTGTACTGTCAGAGAAGTTGGTGGCTCTCCAAGGTTCGTCCAGCACAGTGTAGCTATAGCACGGGTCAGCACTGCTGGAGACTGAGATACAAACAATTTTTGAAAAAAGTCTCATAGAAACAATACAGATGATAAACATATGAAGGTACTGTGCTTAGTTATATCCACTGGTGTAGCATGTGACCCACAAGAGTCCCTCTCATCAGTGCTAATTGAATATAGTGCTTTTCCACCACATGGTGTGGCTCAAATTCACTCAGCTCTACTCGACTCGACTCGGCACGTGAAACTGCCTTGACTTGAAGGAGCCAAACTGTGTTCAGAAGAGGCAGTGAGACAAAAGACTGCTGAAAAAAACAGGAGAGTTTGGGAAAAACTACATCAGAGTTCAGATGATGAGGCGATTCTGACTGCTCAAAGGCGACGCAAGAGGCTATGCTAACCTGGTGGCTAACTTTAGCATATGTGTTTAGTAATGTTCTCTGACCAATCAGCAGTCTGCAGTCATCTTTTGGCATTGGCTCAGCTCACTTGAGACCTCGATGGAGGCAATACCAAAAAAGTACCAGATACCAGATTTGCCTAATGAAACACTGAACAGGCGAGTAGAGTCGAGTTGAGGCGATCAGTCTGATAGCTAAGTTTTGCTTATTGCAGTTACAGTTACACTAGAAAATTGCAGTTCGCATAGCTTTAGAAATAAGGGTGACTACGACTGGACAGGAGGACTGGTGACCTGCTGAAAAAAATGTAGTTTTGGAGCAGTTAGCATGCTGCCTCATGTGCCAAACGTAAACTATAAAACCCAGAAACAAAATTTCCCCTATTACAAAACGACCATGGCAGCCATGCACGAGCCATTTCTGTGCCTGATGTGATGAAATTCTTCAAGGCAGTCAAGCTGTTCAAGGCACCAGGACCTGCTGGCATCCATGGTCATGTCACATTGTTAATCTCTCCTGTTGTATATATGTATGGCATGCGCTTATCCCCCTGGGCCCCGATGATGACTGTGAGAGCTGGCAGGAAGGCAGGGCCCGAACCCCAGGTTTCGGCAGGGCAGCCTGTGCAACCCTGGGCTCATGAAGGACGCTGGAGGCAGGTTTCAGGGTTGCAGCAGCCATTTAACTTTATTTTCCACCCCAACAAAATTTAAGCTGGCCACTTTTCAGTGGCTTCAACGTAGGCTTTTCTGTCCTTTTCTCACTTGATCTTTTCAGCTCTATAGTCTTCAGTTTCCTGCTGCTCTTCCCTCTCTCTCTCTCTCTCTCTCTCTCTCTGTCTTTTTCTTCTCTGCTATTTTAAAAGGCACTTGAGACAAGAGGGAAAGAGAGCTCATTGTTCCGCCTCCCCATCACTGCCTCTGCTCCGCAGTTCCGCTGCCTGGGCGAACGTAAAACAAACCAAAGTGACCTCGCCATGGGACCGGAGGTTGTGCCCAGGAGGTGGGGCTCGGGACTCACGTGCCACTCCCTACTCACTCTCAGTTCTCCTCTCCCTGCCGTCCTCGCAGGGCTTTGTCCTTGCTCAGGGTTCAGGCCCCACCTTCCTGCTGGATTCCCACATGCCTTAAGAGAACCACCATTGTTCTTGAAACTCTATGGCACTGACCTCATGCAGTTAGTCTAAACTCAAATTTGCTTTACCCTTCTGGCCACCATGTACCCCTCCAGTTAGCATCCTCTGTGGTACAGCAGGGCAGCTGGTAGGGTGAAGTGGTGAAATCACCTCGGCTCTCTCCTCGGCTAACTCCAGTGAACCTGGCGCAAGAAGCCTAATGTGGTGCTGCACGTTCTCTGGTGACAGTGCATTGCAAAACACTCAAGAGCTTGTGCTGCACTTCTTCAGGAAAGCAGGGCCTTATTACATTTCTCAGTTCTTCAGTTTCTAGTTTTCTAGTATGTTTTTGTTCCCTAGTCATTTGTTTTTTAGTTTTTTTTTTCTGTGGATATCTCTTTATTGCTTACATATACTGCCAGTTTTATAAACCTGTTTTTTGTTCAAAGCTGTAAAAAATAAAAATAAAAAATATTTGTTATCAGAATCAAAGTGTGAAAATTACCAGTCTGGGTCTTAACCTCCCCACCTGCAGAAGAAACAAAAGGGGAAATTAAATGATGACAAGAAATAAAGTGATTTTTTTGTCAAATCAGATAACTCTTTAAAGGTAAAAACATAGCTTTTGTGTAATTAAGACTTCTTATTTTTATTAAACAATATTTTATCTTTTACCTTATTACTAGAATACATTTACAATTAATGACTTATTTTGTTCTTTAATTTTCTATAATTCTATTTTGCATTGAATTTTTCCAGTTTGTATTGGTGGGGTGACCAATTTAGACCAGATAAATATAAACCTCATATCCTTTTTTGTATGAGAGTCCATCTCCACCAGAAAACAAAAAAATCAGGATTTAACTTACAGTTAATTACAGTTATATCACTTATAAAAAGCCCAAATGTTTCTATTATTGTCATACAGGAAATGACACTTTCTTGTTGATGTAACAGAAAACAAGCACATACTTAACAAAATGAAAGATATGATGATTAAGATTGGCGCATGTTGCTGATGTGCTGTCATGATGCCTGATTGACCGAAATGTTGAAACCTACAAAAGAAATTTACTTTTGAAAAAAATTCTCTTCATTACATTAAATATCAGCTTTCAATGATGAGTTATTTGTATACTGTATAGCTCCATATCTGACTGTTCTGTCGAACTGGAAATATAAAATATTTAAGAAATAAAAGATTTGCTTAAATGAAAAATATTTTGATGTTCTGTAGTTTTCTGGGTCACAATTTATTGTCATACTTCTTAAAATATATCAAGCCTATTTAGCTCAGTCAGGATTTGCTTACAGGTGTTTTCACACCTGAAAATCTGGACCCAGGTTCATGTTTTTGTTACATTGTGTACATTTTGATCTGGATAGTTTTGATTTCACATTGTAATTTAGCGAGCACCCTAAGGAATGTAGCATGACACACCTGCGTCCTGTCATCACCTGTGTGGGCTGCGTCTGCCTGTACTGCACACTGATTGGTTTGATTGGTTTGTAGAGGAGAGTCTGACGGCGGTGTGTTGTCAGCTTGGCAGATAACCTTTTATATTTGAATGGAGAAAAATAATGAACAGATTCATTTTGTTTCCACTAGACTACTAATGCCAGAATTTTTTATTTATTTATTTAATTTGTTTATTTCACAGGGACAATATGTATAAACATTGTTACATAGAATGCAACACGTAATGCATATAGAGCATCTAGTTTAAGCTAATTTGCAGCCCCAGTCCCTGGTTTGGCCTTTAAAAAGTTTTTATGCATTTTCTCAAGTTGACGTTTGATGTTTTCATCTGAACAAATTACAATTCAATATTTGGTCTCCTCCCTCTGAGCTACCGCAGCTCAGTTTTGTTTCTCTCTCAGGTTTTTTACCTCTTTTATTGTTTAATGGGAGACGATGGCCTGCTTCAACTTCCTCTAATTGGTCCGAAAGTCAGAACCATCCAAAAAAGTGTTTTTACACTGCAAACTAACCAAACCATGGTTCAGTTTGAACCGGACCAAGACCACCTCTTTGGTCGGACCAAATTTTGGTCCTTTAGTCCTTTGATCCACACCATGGCCCGAGGCGCCTTTGACACCTGCTATTTTGTTTCAGACCAAACTGAAAAGTCTGAAGGTCCAGACCAAGCCAGGCAGGTGTGAAAACTCCCTTAGACCACCTGAATTTGACTGGGAAATCTTTTAATGAGCTGAGATTAGGCAAGATGCATGTGGACGTGAGCTTTATTATGGGTCAACTAAAATCACAAACCAAGTTCAAAGGAGGAATCACAGCATCTAAAATTTTTATAATAATAATTATAATAATATAATAATTATATAATTTGCTAATAATTTAGCACTATTTCACCATTATTAGTGTGACATATAAAAACTTATAACACACAAGTAAGTTCACTGGTCATGTTGGATAGCAGATAAAATGGTGATGTCTGTAGTGTAGATATACGGACGTCTGGTTCCTACTACTACAATGTTGATCAGTTCTGACTCTGTAAATTTCTCTAGAAAGGTGCTTTTCACACTGAGCCTCTCTGAATGATTTTGTTTACATGTAAACCAGTGAACGATTAAGTAATTCATAATTTAGCTCTTGTTTAGCTTCCCAGTCAGAGTGACACGGCCCCTGACCAGGCAGCGTCACACCTGGTGGAGAATGCGGGCTTGCCTATATGGCCAGACACATAGTGAAATGGTTCTTCTGATCAATAGAGAATGTTCTGGACATTGTAACAATTCCAGAACCTTTTTGTTTGTTCTGGATGTTGAGCTTGTATACAATAGAAGAACCCTTTTGGGTGCTATATTGAACCATATCCAACATATTCATGGTGCGTTCCAATCGGGAGGCAGCTGTCTAAGTAGGCAGCATTCTAAGGCAGCATTTGACCACTCCTGACACGAAAGCTGTCCCACTCAGAAGGCAGCATAAGGTGCCTTATTTTGACCAAATCTGAAGGCAGCATTGCATTTCTCCTTTTTTGATGAAGGCAATCCCACAATAGTGTTCACCGGCCGAGAGTTCCATCGCTCCAGTCTGATAAACGTGGCTGACGAAGCGGCTGTTTTTTGCCGAACAGAGACTTTACAAGTTATTTCTTGACTTCTGCCTTTACAGTTTTGAATGTTGTATTTGTGTAAAGTATTGAACCTATTTGAGTTTGTAGACCTCTAGAAATTGTTCTTGTGGTAAATTTTTGTCAGTTCGCTTGTCTAACACAACCTGACAGGCTAACGTTAGTTAGCGTAGCTGGCAGGCTGGCTGTGTGAATGCATGGCTCTTTAAAACGAGAGAGAGTCCAGTTTAAAATACTGGCTGTTCACTGTTTAGTGGTGTTTTCTATTTGCAAACAACTTATCGGTTTGATTCTATACTCA